ATTATATTTACACTTTTTTGCATTTTATTCACTATTTTATTAACATGGGAACCAAAAAGCATTTTTGAATCGAATACTACTCCTAGAAAATTCTTTTCCTCAACTAAACTTATTTTTACAGAACAATATTTTATATTGATATGTACAGGGTTAAAATCAAACTTTTTACCAAATAACATTGCAGAACTTTTAAGGGGATTAATATCCAAATTTAACTTTGTTTTATAATATTGATAGATACAATTTAAGCCTTCATTGATAGTGTTTTGTGCTTGTAATAAATTTCTACTAGATGTGTACAACACAATATCATCAGCGTACTGTAAAAAATATAGATTACTCAACTTCAGAAATTGATGTAATTGTGCAGTGTATAATATATAAATCAGAGGTGATAGTGTTGCTCCTTGCATTACGCCTTTAAATGCCTACTTTGGGCCATATAAAGTATGATCAAATTTAACATTAACTGTTCGAGAATAAAAAAAATAAAAATCCATTTAGATATTTTGCCAGGAATGTTATAGCTATGTAGAATTTTGACCAATTTGAATAAATCGACATTATCAAATGCACCACTAACATCTAAAAACACACTAATCATATAACTAAACAAAATAACTGTGATTATTGAAAGCATTTTGTATGTCACCACCAAATTTCAACAAATTATCTAAAGTACCACGACCTTTACGGAATCCAAATTGATCAGGAGGTATAATATACCTTGATTCTACATATAGTTCTAATCTATTTTTTAACATGTTTTCGAATATTTTTCCCATGCATGAAGATAATGATATTGGTCGATAGGAGTCGGCTAAACTTGGATCTTTATCCGATTTTAAAATAGGAACAACGGCAATATTTCTCCACGTATCAGGTATCTCATTACATTGCCATAGATTATTAAAAATTTTCAGCAATACTAATTTAGCTGAGCGATGAAGACGTTTAATTAAAATATATGGAATGTCATCTATACCAGGTGTGGTGTCATTTTTATTATTTAGGGATAAATGAAATTCTTCTTCAGAGAAAGGCAAATTTAAATGAACGTTTAAGTCATTACTTTCAAATAAATCATTAAGTTGTTCGATGTCATTATTATCTGATGATCTATTTGATGCAATTTTATCTAAAAAATCGTTTATGAAACCATTAGTTTTGGGTTTTGGACTTGAATTTTTTCTATTAAAGACTTTAACTTATTTCCAAACTGTACTGATAGGCGTATTTCTATTGAAACTGGTGCAAAAATGTTTCCAACATAAAATTTTCTGTTCTCTAATAGTTCGTTTTTTGAGTGCATCGATTTTTTTGTAAATCACATAATTTTCCATTGTTGGATATCTTCTATAATTATAAAGTGCTAATTTGCTCTGGTTTACCGCATTAGCGCGATATCGTTCCACCAAGGAACAGGTTTTAGAATTTTTTGCCCACTATTAATTATTTTATGTACTGGAATAAATTCTTTTCGTAAATCAATTAGGATTTTACAAAAAAAATCATATGCTTCAAGAGCATTTTCTTCGATTAACAACTCTTCAAAAAGACAACGAGATTTATTAGTGTATTCTACCCAATCAGCTTTTTTATATAAAAATTTTTGAAAACATTGTGAATATTCATATCGATCGGCTGTAATGGTTAAATCAACTATAGTAGGAAAGTGCAGGTTGCCCAAAGTATCATCAGAATATACTGACCATTCCGCTGAAGCGGCTAAAGTTGAAGAACTAAATGCAATATCAATAGCTGAAACTGATTCATTAGGACGATTGACTGTGGTTGATGCACCAGTGTTTAATATACACATATTTAAATCATCTAACAGGTCAATAATTTTTGTTCCTCTAGGATTAATATTACCTGAACCAAAAGCCGTGTGTCGTGCGTTAAAATCTCCCATAACTAAAATAGGAGCTGGCAGTGAACATAAAATGCTTCTTAAAACAGAAATTGGAAAACGACCCTTACGTGGTGGACAATACACACCCAAAATTGTAAATGAGCTATCTGTTGTTTGTACTTTTATGGCTACGGTTTGAATACTATCATTGCTTACAATGGGAATTTCGGAACATTTAATTGCGTTCCTACATAAAATGCCAACACCACCTTGCCTGGTGCCGGTATCATTTCTGTTGTTCTTACGAATTAATTTGTAACCTCTAAAATAAACAAAATCTGAGGGTTTTAGCGAAGTTTCATTTAAAATACAAATATCTACATTGAATTTGTGCATAAATTGATTAAGAAGGGCTGTTTTAGGTCTTAAACTCTGAATATTGTGTTGTACAATCTTTAAGCAACCCCTATTTGCCATGATTATCATTTAAATTTTTAATGAAAGCCTCTTTAATTGTAGATGAATTAATTGGTAAGTTATTTTCTTTACTGTTTAAACATAACAAAGTGTTAACAATAGCATTAAGTATTTTTTCGTTATTTATAACATCACTCAATAAGTCTTTGTTTGTTTTTTTTTGTGGTTGAGATTGAGAAGAACTCACTACTTTGGCAAATTTCTGAGTTAAGGCTGGGAAATAAGCACTCAACGTGTTTTTATTTGTAATTTTAGCTTTATTTTCAATTATTTTTTGCTGTTTTACTGGACATATTTTAGCCACAGCAATATGCTCTCCTTTACAATTGATACATAAAGGCTTATCAACATTGGTACAATCTTTATAATATGAATGTTCTTGAGAACAGATTGAACATACAACATTTCTTTTGCAATATTTGGTTGTGTGTCCAAAACCCATACATTTGTAGCATTGTAATACAGGCTTAATATACTCTTCCACAGGAAGTGTATATTGACCATAACTTACTTGAGCAGGGAGTGCATTACCAGCGAATGTCAGCGAAACTGTCTGCAACGGGGCGATACCTTCAGAAAGTCTTCTTGGTGAATCTTCGGACAGATGATATTTCCTGGGAACTGATCAATTTATCAAATAAATGCTTGCATGTTAAGTCCGTTGGGATGAATTTGATGACTCCTGTGCATTCTGAATTGGAAGCCGGAATAAAAGCCTTAATTAAAAGTGTGAAGATAAGAATGATGTATTTTTGAGCAACGTGTTGGCATTTTTTGGATTATCAAAAACAATTGCGTATTTCAGTGCATTTACACGTTTTATTTCTTTCACTCCTTTGTTATATCTACTGAATATGTTATTCAAATAAATTGGATCTTTGTTACCAAACCTGATGTTTTAATTGGTGCTTTGTATATATACTGGAAAGATAGTACCTGGAGAGTTTTCAGGGTAACTTCGTATGTAATTTTTTCTGTAAAATGGTGCATGTTTACTGTCTTCTTCGTCATCTGAGATGGGTGTATCAATTGCAGTTTTGCGTTTCTTGCTAAGTTTTGTGCTATTACCTCCACTATCGGAGGCCATCGCGATCGTTTTGCACTAGTCACAAGCTAGTTTACTTGTAAATTAGCTCCGAAAAATTTATTTCAAAATTGGCAAAAATTATCGAACTTCCCGCCTCGAAAGTTCCCGCCTTTTCTGAGATTGTTTGTTGTTGACATTGACAACTTCTAACTTATTGCCAGCCAAATAATTGAAAATTTATGAAATCCTTGCTTTCTTGGAATTTAAATTTTTTATGTACCTAGTTGTTTTATCGATGAACATACTTATTTACACTAAATTCTCGTAATATACCATTTATGAATATTATAAAATCAAAATTAAAAGAATTCCGTACAATACATCGGAATAGGGGACAATTTTACGAAAATAAGAGGAATTGCACAGAATTGCAAGGAATTCTGTAAATGAGTAGCACAATTTGGCCTTTTAGACCCCCTGAAAACAATAAATTGAAAAATAATCTAAACAACCATAAACTCTTACAATTTTAATCGATTTCTCGTGAAAATCGTTTTATGTGATTAGCGATATGATTAGTCCACATCTCTATTCGCGTCACGATGACAAGTGTCAAATTTGGCCTCTTATCCCTGACTAATATATATATAGTAAATCTGTGCTATTATTTTGTGACGACTATAATACGCTTCATCGTCAATAAAATTTAAAAATTATTTTATAATATATATGTAATAAACTATGTATATGATAGGTGCACACAACCAGCAAAATCACTCCTCATCTTCATTACTATTATTAGTAGACACAAGGTTGTCGCCTCGATTATTAGGAGGAGTTTGAACAATTCAGTCGGTCGAAGTCGGTTAAAAATTAATAGACTAGACACCACCACCACCATTCATTGTTTTGACAGGAGTTGTCAAATTGGAGTGACTGCCTGTTGGGGTGGCTACTGGTGTGAGTTTCCAATTGTGAACAAAATTACATTTTCATTCCCGTGAAGCACCTTAGTAGTTAGTAATTATTATTATAAATATTTATTGATCACAATTATTTTAAATTCATGCTATTTTACTTAATTACATCTATAATAATTCCTGTTCTTATGTTAGATTTAATAGATATATAAGTTCTTATTATTTGTATAATATAATCGTAGGTAACGTAACGAGTAAATTGAAGCCGTAAAAAGGTCGCCACAGGACAGGCTAAGCCTAGTGTGGGACCACCTGTAATGACTCAGAATGTTTTCAGGCATGGCATCACGTTAACAATGCATGTTTTTGTTAATGTTTAACACACACTTAATGTTCATTTAGCATAAGTATCATGTTCTTGTCTTAAAAATGAAAATATGTAAAGTATTTTGTTTTTCTGTGTGTTTGTGATGCCAATAAACATATTCTTAATCTTATTCTTATTCACCACGATTTTATTTAGTGTTGGCAACTTGTTAGACAAGGATAGACCACTACCTATATAAGCAATCCTGAAATCTCAAGAAGCAAGGAAATATTTATTTGGAAGAATTATCAAAACTTTGCAACTCAGTAGAAATTGCATATGGCCAAAGACTGGTGCCAAAATATAAGAGAAAAAAAAAGAACTCTCTGGACCTTCGGACACTTCTGGATACTTGGAGCTATCTCACGTGTCTCGGTTTATTACTTTTACTTAAAATACAAATAAAATACATTTGTAATATTGGTATATCGAAGTGCGCGATCCAGTTTATGAAATATATAAATCCGTGATTTTAGGTGACGTACGAATGTGATGCTAATCCTCTTTGATCTGATATGAATATAGTGTTCTGTGAATGTGACAGTGACATACAAATGTCATTCTGCAGCACGAGTATCGTACAAAACAAAGAGGGGTGAAGGAGGATTAATATCAAAATTGCAGATGATTTGTGCTTATCTAAACATTCAGTAATAGCGCAGTTATCAGTACTGTGACACGTGTCGCAGCGTCGGCGTATAACGGACGGCCATTGCCATGCTGTCGAGGTTCGTGGTGTCGCAAGTGAAGCACAACTCGTACTTCCTGGTAGGTCTGTCGCTGGGACTATGGGTAGCGCTGGTGGCTGTACCGCTGGACGATGGACCGGAGCCATGCGCAATAGCTGTCGACAGTGGTTCGGCCCGCAAGGCCCCGCTAGTTGACGACTTTGAGCCCGTACGCGAAGAGAAACCGCTCAGCGCTGGCGGCGCGGCGCCCAACGAAGGCCGCAGCCTGCAGCGTCCTCGCTACTACAGCACCGAACTGGGCATGCGCGCACCGCTGCTTGCCGGCGTGCTCACCTCCGAGGACGCTCTCGGTACGGCCCACTTGCCTAACCAGGTCATCATTTGACTCGCATTACCCAGTAGCGGGCACAAAATATATTTTGTGGAAATTTGTAGGTATACTTTTGCTTTTTGTCCAGTCATATTTTCTGTGTGCTGGTGTAGTGTTGTGTTAAATTATTTTATGACTTGCCATGTGTGCAAGATTTCCTGTAAAGTAAAGCCTTTCTAGCCTTATAGTTTAATATTGTAAACCCCTTAATCACAGGATGTGGGTTCAGATTGTGGGTTTTTCGAATTTAAGTGTAAAATTTAATTTACAATTCACCATGAGCTTTTTGGTGAAGGAAAACAGTGTGATGAAATCTGCATGTCAAAGAATGTGCACAACCCTCGGGAAACTTGTGAAGTCCCAACCTGCATTGGGTCAGTGTGGTGGACTGTGCCTAAAAACCTTGTCTGAGAGAGTCGATGATGACATGATTTTCTACTTTTTTTCTATTTTTACTTTATAAATCATAACAATAATGTTTGTACTTTATGCCCATTTTGTAACTGGATTTTATGGACAGGCACTCGCGTAGCAGCATTGAACCGCACTGTGGCACAACTTCAGCCATCGCTTCGCTTCTTCATCACTGCGAGCACTTTGCAGAGTGCACCATCACTCGCTAACGTGGTGGGCTTCACGGACAAACGTGAAATGCTCAAGCCCTTCCATGCTCTTAAGTACCTCGCCGACTACTATCTCGAAGAATATGATTTCTTTTTTCTCGTTTCGGACACCTCATTTGTGAACGCGAAACAACTCACGGATCTAGTGTTGAAATTGAGCGTCAGCCAGGATGTTTACATGGGCACCGTAGCCGAGGACGACAGCCACTACTGCACACTGGGTAAGAAAGACCTGGTCGCGTCCAAACTGATTCAAGGTAATGTAACTTTTTAGAGTTGTAACAAAATCACCCCTTCAGAGGGCGGCATCCTGCTGTCCAATTCGGTGCTGCGCGCAATGCACGGCGCGCTGGACTGGTGCGTGCGCAACTCGTACTCGCCGCGCCACCACGAGAACATCGGCCGCTGCGTGCTGCACGCCGCGCACGTGGCCTGCATGCCCGCCGCGCAGGGCCACGGCTACGAGGCGGCCGAGCTGCCGGCCGGGCCGCTGCCGCTGCGGCCCTCGCTGGCCGACGCCGTCACCGTGCACCCGCTGCTGCACGCGGAGGACTTCGACGTGCTGCGCGCCTACGTGTCCAGAGTCCGTGTCTGCTCGCGCCCGGGCCTCGCCGGGGGGGCCGGGTCGTAACGGTTCCGCGCTCGGACAGGTGCAACTGGAGAACGGAGCGGCGGAGGTGCGCCGACTGAAGGCGGCGCTGCGCGGCGCGGCGCGGAGGCACCCGCCCGGCTTCCGCAACCGCACCTGGCCCGCCGGCCTGCGCGACGACCCCGGCCTCGCGCCCGTGCCGCCCGACAACCGGTGCGCGCCCGCCCCCGGCCCGCCGCTGGCCGCGCGGCGCCGCTGACCCCTTGTCGCTGCAGGTGGGACCACCTGCGCTGGACGGCGTTCAACGCGACGCACGCGCTGATGCCCGACGACCACCGCGTGGCCGCGCCGCTGTCCGCCGCGCAGCGCGACGCCGTGGAGGTGGGTGCCGCCGCGGCGCACTGTGGGCTAAAAAGCGGCCTCGTAGGCTTAGGGACTTTAAAATGTTTTTTTGCTGGAAATAGATTTGGTTCTGTATTACTATGCTCAGATTTACCAAACGAGTTACTGTGACGTGATAACTGATTAGGTATATTTTTTTTACAAAAGAATTGTACGGAGCTGACATGGAAAATCATTGTCTCTGGAACCGCAAGGAGAACCGTAATATCCTTACAGACGGTTATAGTACTAATTATTTGCGATTTTTTGTCTTGCTTCATATAATGGTGAATACTGCGGAATTTTTTTTTTAAATATCAAAAAAAATATTTCGGTGACGACAAGTTTTAACGCGAAAGATAACAAATGCACATTTTTAAAATGTACATACATACCGTCACGCCTGTCTCCCACAAGAGTAGGCAGAGCTTTGAGTGACACAAGGTTACTAAACCCACGTTGGGCAAATGTTTGGGTTAGGATTGTATAATTAATAAAACCGATTTTTGTGTAACGTAGTGCACCAAATAATAATAATAATAAATAATTTATTCAGTACAACAACAACAACAGTAACACAAGTACCAAAAGGTGACAAATATTTGGATTATCTTCACTGCATGTCCGCATTAATTTCATGGAATGCCGTTTACACATCGCATACCGACTCGATTTTAAGTGGGCTACGAGAGGAGACGAGCACAAGGAAATATTGGAGGCAAGGAAAAAGAACCCAATATATGTTTAAAGATAAGCTCAATCTTTTAATTGGCGTAGTAAAACAAGGTGCAGGAACAACTAATGACGATAGAACCGCAGCAATTACAGGATTGGATGAAGATTTTGTTGCGTAGATTTGCTGTAATTCTGGAAGCTATAACATCTGGGGAGCTAATTGATGTTACTAAATTTAAAGATTGCCTACAAAACAGTAGAGAAGTACGTGGAGTTATACGATTGGTATCACATGTCGTGACCGTCCACAAATAGCTCTTACATGGAGCAGATATCATCGCCAGCAATGCAATAATACCAATTGAGAGCCTCTCAGAAGAAGCCTCAGAAGCCCGCATTAAATATTTTAAAAGGTTTAGGGAGTACCATTCGTGAAAAGGCAGAAGGGGCAAGCTTCGAACGAGGATATTCTCAATATGCTAGCACTTTTTTCCGACCCTCTCATCAGTGCAAGTAGACCAAAATTAGTGACCAAGAAAAGGCAGAATTTCAAATTTTCAAATCATTCAGAATTTTTGGATGTGTCCAATCTGGAACTGGATTCTGAACTGGAATCTGAAGAGAGCGATGCAGAAAATTAATTTGCACAATGTTATTTATGATGTACGTGTTAAACATGACGTATTAAAAGGATACTTTATTGTATTTATTCATAATAATTTAAGTAAAGTTTATTTATTGTAATTTCTTGTTAAAAAATCATTTCACCATTTTAATGAATTTTTTGGTGGATGCATTTGACATTGAATTCGTATTTAAACGTATGTATAAATGTAACATTTTAAACCAATGTAATTTGTTTAATTGTATCTCTTCATTTTTGTTATTATTATTATTTTGTTCTTATTTCTTTCTAATAGTATATTTTTAAGTAACTACATCTTAATAATGTGCATTTGTTATCTTTCGCATCAAAATTTGTCGTCACCGAAATATTTTATTTCCATATTAAAAAAAACCCGCCGTATTTACCGTTACATGAAGTATGTCAAAAAATCGTAAGTAATTAGTGTTATAACCTTCTGCAAGGATACTACGGCTTTCCTTGCGTTTCCAGAGATATAATGATTTTTGATATCGGCTCCGTACAATATTTTTGAAAGAAGTTTTCATGTCAAACTAACTGGCTTGACAAATTTGAGCCCAGTCCGTATTGGACTCGAGTATGCGTCCAGCGAAACCGCTCGAAAAGAAAAGTCCC